GTAACTTAAACCCTAAACCCTAAACCCTAAAATTTGTTAACCTATTTTTTCAATCGACAATGAAGTGTTAACACTTAACAATTATAATGATGTAACTAAAACCCTAAGCCCTAAACCCCTAAACCCTAACCCTGAACCCTGAACCCTGAACCCTGAACCCTAAACCCTAAACCCTAACCCTAAACCCTGAACTGAACCCTAAGCCCTGAACCCCTAAAACCCGAACCCCCGAACCCTAAAACCTTGAACCCTGAACCCTGAACCCTAAAACCCTAAACCCTAAAACCCTAAACCCTCAACCCTCAACCCTCAACCCTGGACCCTGGACCCCGAACCCCTAAACCCTAAACCTAAGTAAACCCCTAAATCTGCTGTTGGGGGAGTGCTCCTTCGAGTATTTGATATACGCCAATGGGATGATTGATTGAATTTTGATCATTTATTCATTTTGATTTGACTTTTGGGGTTCCTACTCAACGTTGCTAAATTTTCTTTGTTTTTGATTTTCAAAGCAGCCTCCCTTTGGTACTAAATCGAATTCCAGTGGAGATTGGACCTTCCTCTACCGTTAGGTAGAGCCACTTAGATGATTCTTGAAGTTAACATCACTATGTTTATTTTTTCATTTTTAATTTGATGAATAAATGAATTATAATAAATGGTTATAGATGATGAATAAAGTGACGTTTATGCATTTAGCATTTTATCTATTTGTCCTGTGTGGAAAGATATGAAAAAAAAATAAAATTCAAGATGTAACAAATATACTGGTCATGTGTGCTACACATGACTGGGCATGCATCACGCCAAGCTGGCCCAGCCCTGGCCCATGGACTGGTTATGTGCGTCGCATGTGACCGCCCATGATGGTTGGGTTGGGTTAGACTACGGGTTGGGCCTGATCCATGGACTGGTTATGTGCGTCGCATGTGACCGCCCATGATGGTTGGGTTGGGTTAGACTACGGGTTTGGCTATGACCTGACCTATAGGTTGGGCTTGGTCCGTGAGCAATTTAAATCTAATTTATATTCAATTTCGTACCACAACATATATTCACTGATAATTATATAAACAAAAAAAAGCATAATAACAAATTAAAAAATAAAATTGGGAGATAAGCTTTACTATAAGGAAATAATCTTCTAAATTCAATAAAAATTAGAAATCATACTTTCAACACGTGTATAATTTTAACACATTCTAGTCAAATAAATTTTAAATCGTTTATAATAGCATATTTTAAATTTCAGATAAAAAAATATCAAAAATTTCAGATCAAAGAATATCAAAAATTTTAATCTAGATAATATTAAAAATAAGTTGTAAAGCCAAGAAATATCATATATTTAATACATAAAACATGTAAATTTTTAACATGTTTAAATATAAAAATAAAAATCTAAAGCAGAGATCAAAAGACATTATAAAAACTTCAACCGATAGATTTTTAATACAACAATAAAAATTGATATTTAAATAATTGATAAATATTTTCAAAC